CTGAGACGAAAGGATTTGGCCCAGGCAATTAGGCTAATTGGGAGGCCTAGCTTTCTTAGCGTTTGGAGGAATTGGTTGTGAGATACGTGGTCAAAAGCTCCTTTAACGTCTAAGAAGACTGTGGAGGTAACGTATCCTCGCTGCTTCTGGTGCTGGACTTGGTCTACTAGTAGTAGGGCTGCGTCTAGATAGGCGTGTATAGGACACGTATAATCAGCGCACTTTCTCTTTCAACTCTAGATATCTCGACAGCGCGAGGGATCTAGAACGTCAGAGTAGTTGCAAAAGAATCGCAGTAGGCGGTTGCCTTAGATGCGAGATTTTGAGAGCTTTCTGAGATTTTCGAAAGTTGGTGTGTGGTGTGAAACTTTTGCTACTAGATTGTTGTCCAAACGGCGAGATGAAGACTGAACCTGGGAGCAATACAATCAACCAAGATGCATGGCCTTGTTTAGGCGCTATAAGTATTGACCGCCTGAATGTGCTTATATTTTGGGAAAGTTCATGGCTTTCAACACGTGAGTACCATGCACTTCGTCAAGATGGAAATCAGGGGTGGCTTGTCCACGCTCGAGGCGAAAACGAGCTACTCATTTCCTGGGAGCCTACCATTGAAAGGAAGTCAACTCAATCCTCCCCCCAAGACCTACTTCATGAGTTTCCTATAGAGGTCCGAAAAGATCGACCTGGTTTGCTTGGGTATGTCGCGGCGAAGGCTTTACCCCCATATTTAAACGCGGGTAGCCGTTTCCCAGCATTTCTAGCATACTGGAAAGTCGCTCGAATGACCAAGGGTCTTTTTTATTATCTACAGCAAATTTATTCCAGCCATTGGGGCTACATCGTTCACAAAGAGTTAGACAAAGTCTGGATACAGTGGGAACCTACGTGGGTGGTTTACGAAAATTTGAATGAAAGTAAGAGAGAGCAGCTCTTACAGATATCCCACGATCCCGAGGCTATATTGCATCGCTTCCACAAGGCAATTGTTCACTACTCCATGCGCTCAATGGTAGTGAGGAGAATAAGTAAGAGAACAATAAATTAAAGGGGGCTATCTACGCTTCGTTGCTAAATCCGTATCTGTATGAATATATGTGCTGCAAATACTAACTTCAGGAAGAATACAACTACTCAATATAGCAGATGATTCATAAAGTAAGTAAAATCCATACCGAATGTTCCTCCAAATATCTATACAGCGGTTGAATATGCCGAGCCAAGCACCATTCTTCGCACGAATTCTCCAGTGACAGCATGCGGCGAGATATTGGTAGGCAGTTCAACAGAATTGCAAAAGCCCCTGTTGCGGTTGCCGCGGTAGCTCAACCTGTTCCAGATATCACCAGCTCCCGTGTTGGGCAAGATGGCAAAGCAAATTCCACAAGAATCCATTATCTGTAACCTTTTACTCTTTTTGCTTGTGTAGATGCTGTTTTGAATTTCGATGTTGGTCTCTAACAGAAATCCTACATGAGCTCGTGGTACTGTACCCTTAACGACGATAATGTCGATCTTAGAACCAAGTCCACCTCTTGAGGATTCTTTGACATCTGTGAATGCCTGGAGTGCAACATTTGTTAAACCAATACCCGTGCCGGCATCGTAAGATGTTCTCATCAGGCTTTCGTAGTTATGGACTGCGAAATCAAGAGGAACAGGTTCCATATACCGTGGAAGAAGGTCTCTCGCTTTTTGGCTTATTCTTTCCTTCAAAGCCTCATGAGAGGACTCATCCACCAAATTGTAATTGCTGTAAACATCTTGAATTGTCTTGGTCATCTCTTCAGTGGCACTTCTTCTATTCTTGCCTGTATGAAGCTCTTGTGAGTGCGTGTCATTGTCTTGAAAGAGAATCTTGTCTCCAGTCTGTATTAGATTGAAGCGATAGCCTTCGCACATTTTCTGGAAAGCACTCTGCCAGTCAGAATTCTCAAGATGCAAGCTGCCGGTTTGCGCTAAATATTCAGTCCATAGTTGGATCCCTTGATGGAGAGTCTTAATACTCGCTAGTTTCAAAAGAGCTTCGGTATCTCCAGTCGGGTAACGTAGTGGCCTATTCGGAAAGATTACAGTAACACCTCTTGGTTTGATGCGGTCGAAGACAAACTTTAACACTACCAAGAGATCAAATTGTAGTTTCCAATAATCAGGAAGATCTTCATGTAAGAAAACCCGGAATGATCTTTCCACCACTTCAGCCTGAAACTTTCCATCGTTTACCAAGTCCCATAGAGATTCTTTGGTCTTCTCCTGGCCTGTTACTGGAAGCGGAATGCGGACTGGCATATGGCCGATGGTTTCATTCTTATGAGAACGTGGTTTAGAGCAAGCATGTCCCATCCTTTGAGAAGAAGACCAGAATACTTGTTACTGTTTGTTAGAAGCGTATTGTGGTAGTCGTTAGGGGTTTTAATCTAGAATATAATCCCTGTGAAACTTTGATCACCTTCCCCTATGGGGTCATCCATGTTGCTGAACCTTGTATGCCCCTTTGACCTTGCATTAAGTGCCACGTGCATGACTGAGAGCATGATATAAAACAGGATGCAACTGCAGCCTACAAAGTTCTTTTTGTACACTTCATACTTTCAGCATGCAAATCAAATCTACTTGGACTTTTGTGCTATTTGCAATCGTTCGTTCACATGTCTTTGTGGGCAAGCCCGAACCCTTTCACTGGGATTCACAGGTGACAAAGCTGATCATGCCATTGAATGGTGATCCAAACTATCAAGGTCCAGGCTGGGGTCAGCAACCTTTTCCTTGCAAGGGCTATCATAGAGATGTGACTCATCATGAAGCTCATGCCACTTGGTATACTGGAAGTACGGTAACGTTTCAGTATGTCAGTTCATACTCGAATAATTCTAGAAAATGACTTATAGCATGCCCGTAGTATTTATGACTCCACAAACACGACCGGCGCTAGCATGCACGAGCCAGGCGCAGCTCATTCAGGAGGCTCTTGTCAGGCATCATTTTCCTACGATAATGGGGAAACCTGTATTGTCGTGCAAAGCTGGGAAGGAAACTGCGTGCGTGTACGAAAGGGTCAAGAAGGTAAACTTACGAATTCCTATGACATTGATCAAAGTTACTCTTTCGATATTCCTGATTCCCTTCCAGGGGGAGATGCAGTAATCTTCGCATGGTAAGTCAGAGTCTTCCTTCAAAGTGCGCCGCTGACTCAACAGGACCTGGCTAAATTCATCCGGTAATCGAGAGTTCTATATGTCATGCTCGCCTATCCGGTTGATAGCAGCACGATCCCTGACCAAAATTCCATCTGGTTATCCAATGTACATTGCCAACCTTCAGGAGGATCCAGAAACACCAGATTCACAGCATCCAGCCTGGTCTCGGTGCTATGTTCCGCAAAATGTATGGGTTCGCTATCCCCAACGGTATAAAGGCTTCAATCCACCAATCGTAGCCGATCCGCTCCCAGATAATAGCCAAATCCGCTTTTTAGCGCTTGGAGACGATGGGGGATTGTGTGGCTCAGATAATAAAGAAAGGGTTAGAGCTCTTGCGGTTCAATCTAGTTGAAGCCCCGCTACTTGAGCATGTGCAAGATAGCTTCGAGTAAGAGAAAAAGATGACTCTTATAGGTAGCTAGTTCGTCTAGATCATTAATATCTCATAAAACCATTAGTTGATTGCCCTGCTCTCGTCGTTAAGTGTGTTAATCCCTACACTATCGACTAAGGTATTGAGATAGGTACTGCTTTCCATAACATGTCAGTGCTGTGCTTTCTAGCCTTGAAAACCTCTATCGGTTGTGTTGACTAGGTTACATTGTGTCGCTGCACCTAAAATTGAGGCCACATTCGTTCATGACTGTGCCATGAGTATAAGAAAGAGATACCCTACTAATCAAAAGTTGTTTTACTCGCATTCTAAGTGCTAGAACATTCCCAGCCCCAATAAGTTTCTATTCAAGGCCTTTCTACGAACATCATGACGACGCAAAATACCAGACGAAGTCTTTGTTTACTCTGCGGTAAACGGCGGTCCAGCCGCACTCAGCACGATCAAGGTGTTCAAGTCTGTTCAAGAAAGACATGTGCCAAAACTCAACGCCTAATAGAAAGGGTTTTGAGGGACAGCAGTAGCCCAGTTATTAGGGTCCATCACTACTACCATGCCAGTTATGCAAACAACGATATATCCAATTGCTTACACTATAGTTGTGACCTTCACTCAGAAGTTCCCAACATCGAAGCACTCGCCGAACTGCCTGAGAATTTTGTAAGGCCGCGGTCCAAAGCACACCGCTACTAGAACCGCCAGGTGTAGATAGTATGGCTTCCAAATGCATATTCCCTCAATTTACCTCTTGGCACGCATTGTGACAAAGGTTATAAGGCTCGTACGTGTCTGATATTGACTATCTATATGCAATCTGCATCTAAATCTAAGTAACGTGTCTTTTCAGATTCCTTGTATATATATGTCATAAGGTCGACAAACTACATCAAGCTATATTATCTTTCCATTTAGTAATGTCCTCCACGCGAAAAGCGCTTTGCATTGATCTTACCACTGAGGCAGAACATTGCGCCATATGCTCAAAAATACTTGAAGTGGGTAGCGGAAAAGCCAGTCTTGTGTATGTTTTGAGGGATTGTCGTTGTGTAAGTCTATTGTTATCCACATCAAGTTATGTTGCTAATAATGAGAAGGTTATCTGTGGCTTTTGTGTCCAGTTTCCGGGTGAGCCACCCTTTCTTCCTTGCCAGCATACCGACCACACGGACTTTGGGTGGCAGAGACCGCTACGACTCTACAATCTAAAATGCGCTATCTGCTTAGATACTGGAAGTTCCATTCGCATTGCCCTAGTTTGCGGTAGGTTGATATTATACATTTGAGGTAGTTAATTAGCTAACGATCAAGGCCACGTGTATTGTCGAGCCTGCATTCTAACATGGGTAAGCTCTCCTAGAGAGTCAAACAAAAATTATGTTACTTGTCCAACGTGTAGGAATAGTATGACCAAGGTCGGGCGATTACTGTCACATGATCAAATTGTTGTACCCGCCCAACGAGGTGTTGAAATTGTATCACGATGCAGCAGTCTATAGACTTGTGACTAGTTAATGTCAATCCTCGCGTGCCGGGACGCCCGGTGTAACGGGACACTTTTTCTTCCGGACGCCCGGCATGCTCACACAATATATATAAATTGGCCGGTTTAATGTGCATCTATACTCTAGCACTAGTCCTCCTACTGCATCCCTATCCGACATCAGAGAACGCGTTGCTAACTGTGCTGTCGCTCTTTTTGTTAGTGCTGTCGACCAACCCTCTCTAAGAACCCCCCTGCTCGTTTACGGCTACATACATTCGCCAAGAGCTCAGCGGGTTAGAGAGTGAGCTAAGAAGGCGAAGATGAAGACTCCCAACCCAGAAAGTCAATTTAAGGCATGGAGTGTGCAGTCCGGCAATTTCTCCGCGCGAAAGGTAGAATCGTCACAACGCAGCTGCCCGGCCGTGCGTCTTAAGCGAGCTTTCAGCTACAGTAGCGTGCTGAGATGTCTGCAACTCTTACTGCGCACTGTGGCTGGGAGTTATGGCGCTGAGAGTGATATTTCGAGCTGCTGTTAATCCCGGCGCTGCAACTCTAAAATAAATTTGTTATGCTGCTAAATGTTAGAACTTGCTAGTCGAGACTGCTCATGTGACAAAAGCACTTCGCTACGGTGTTGGCGACATGCTCGGGTAGTGGGGTGGTGCTCTCCAAGAACAACGCTATACCCGTCACACGCTCTGCTATATAGATCAAGGGATTCCTTATAGTCACAGAGCGTCGCAAGTAGGTAAGCAAGGCAGTACACGCTAGTAAGCGTGTCGGGGTGCTCGCGCCCAAGCACCTTCTCGTACCCTTCCAGCGCTCGTCGATGCATCACTTCTACCTCCTCATACTTGCCCTGCCTCTCCAGCACCGACCCAATGTTGTTAACACTGGTGAGCGTATCAGGGTGCTCGCGTCCAAGTACCTTCTCTCTTACTTCCAGCGCTCGTCGATGCATCACTTCTGCCTCCTCGTACTTGCCCTTGCTCTCTAGCACCGACCCAAGGTTGCTGACGCTGGCGAGCGTGTCGGGGTGCTCGCGCCCAAGCACCTTCTCGTACCCTTCCAGCGCTCGTCGATGCATTGCTTCTGCCTCCTCGTACTTGCCCTTGCTCTCTAGCACCGACCCAAGGTTGCTAACGCTGGCGAGCGTGTCGGGGTGCTCGCGCCCAAGCACCTTCTCTCTTACTTCCAGCGCTCGTCGATGCATCACTTCTGCCTCCTCGTACTTGCCCTGCCTCGATAGCACCGACCCAAGGTTGTTAACACTGGCGAGCGTGTGGGGGTGCTTGCTACCTAGTACTCTCTTCCTCGACTCCATCACTTGTACATAGAGCTCCTCAGCTCTCTTATATTGTCCATCACTCTGCAGAGCCCTAGCGCAATCTTCTGTAAGATTTGTTCTCTCCTCGTCATCGTTCTTCTCACTATGCGACAGTGCATATTGAGCATGCGGCAGTAGTCGCCTCCATTTGCTTCTATTACTGTAATCGCTATTTGGAAACACCTGGAGTAGCTGCGTGACTGTGCGTTGAGTGCATTCGTAAAGCCGTCCCTGCATCTGCAGCTGCTCTCTTAAGGCTTGGTGCACTAATTGATGCACGTCAAATGCTGACTCAGCAGGTCGCCTTGTGACGAGCGCATAACTGTCAAGTATCATGATCGCATCTACACGGGCCTGCGGCGAAGCTGCCTTAAGCAGATCGAGCGGAATGTCCTTTCGGTCTACGCACGCAGCAAAGTAAAGCTGCTCTACAGCAATAGTATTGCTCTGCCGGACTTGACCTATAGAAAGAGATAGTATAGCAGCTACAGCCTTTCTTAGACTAGACTCTCCCTGCTCGCTTTCACGCAAGTCATTGCTGTGCTTAAGAGCTGCTTGGTCGTGGTCGTGTAGTCGTGCTTGGTACTGCTGCACTGTCATATTGCTTGCGTTCATGCACGCTGCCGCTTGCGATACTGCTAGAGGTAGGTGTGATAGCTCTCTTAGCAAGTGTATGGCTGCAGGCTGCTCAGCATTAGAGAGCGGCGTTGTCAAACGGGATTGCAACATCCTCAGCGCCGTGTCTGACGTCAGCTCACGCAGCGCTACCACATCCTGTGGAGCAAGCGTCTTAGCCGTGTCGCTTTCTATTATTGTGAAAATGACAGAACACAGCTTAGATTGCGGCAGAAAGTCGGCTAAGTCTGCAGCTTCTGCCGTTGACGAGCCACCATGCTGGACAGTTGTGCCCTCGATGTTGTCGAAGATCAGTAAACACTGCCGCGTACTTAGCTTTGCTACGCAACGTTTCACGATCTGCTCTATGTCTGCCTGGTCACCGTCATAACCAGGAACGCCAAGCTTCTGTGCAACACTAGTATAGGACTGGTCGAGACTGTCTTTATCACTCGCATCGATCCAGAAGACCGAGCAGTGCTTGTGTTTCTTCAGTGTTCTGTGTGCGACCTCGAGCGCGAGCTGCGATTTACCTGTTCCGCCAGGCCCGACTATTGCAAGCGTCGAGGTAGTCTGTGTGTTGCTGAAGAGCTTCGCTTCTAGTTCAGCGAGCTGTAGTTCGCGACCCACAAAAGACTTGTTGCGCGCGAACGGAATGATCGATGGTGCGCGGCCGGCTCCCTCCACTTCAGCCTGCAGTCTTTCCAACGCACTCTCCCTTCCTTCGCCATAGGTTGCAGGCATAGAGACGCCAAGAAGTCCAAGCAGGCAGTATACCATATCTTCCGTTTCGGTCGTTTCGCGACCGCTGACCCATCGCATACGCTCATCTATAGTGAACTGGTTAAGGGGACAGTTGCGCAGCGCTGCAAGCGGAATGCCGGTGATGCTGTGCAGTAGCTGGTCGAGAGAGGTTTTGTCGCCTATGCGCTGCCCTTCGCACGAGAAGAACTCCACAGATGCTGGCGCTATCAGCTCCTGCAGCGTCCATCCGCGAGTGAACCACTTGCTTCGCCGAAGCGATACATTCCAATCCCTGCATAAGATAGATCCTGTCGAGGTCGAGGTCGATACTGACACATCTGACAAGAAAACGTAGCATCGTAGCGCATTCTTGTACCACTGGAACATCGAGTTGATCGCCTTCGAGCGCTCGTTGTTGTCCCATCTATCGGTGCAGCATGTGTCGATCCAGAAGTACCGCAGCCCGTCCTGAGCTGCTTGTTCGGCGCAGAAACGTAGCTTTCGATAGCCTTCTTCTTTCTCTTTGTAGTTTCCATCCAATACATCTTCAATAAGGATCTCAGAGTCGCCCCATCGGTGTGATAGAATAGCGTAGGGCGGGATCCGCTTGCCGCGAAAGTCTGTCAAGATCAGTTTGCCTAGCGCGTCGAAATGGAGAAGCCGCATGGCGCTTGCAGCTCAGACTTCAGTCTAAAGAATCAGAGGCGTGAACGACTTTAGTGTTAGACTAGTGAGAGCAGAATGTTAGCGGGAGTAGAATGACATGTTTTCGATAAGGCAGAGAAGGCAGAGAAGGCAGCCTAGTGAGGCAATGCATGCAACCGGGCTGGCTGCATCAAGCGCTCAGCGTCCTGCACTGCCTTACTATCTGCGCTAAGGCAGTGTTTGCGTTGCAAACTCATGTTAGGAGAGTACACATATAAGTAAGATGCTAGTAAATACAGCTAACTAATCTACAAAGGTTATCCTTATAGCGTTTCGCCTGGCTCTGTGCGACGGGGGTGGCTACCTACACGGCCCGGGAATAAGAGCGGTCTAAGGTCAGGCGATAAGTGGGAGCCGCAGCTCTCAGCCACAGCGCGCAACCCCTCGCAGATATCTCATCACGCTACTGCTGCAACATGTCGCTTAGGACGCACGGCCGGCTGCACGCGTTTTGACGATATTGTCGCCAGCGCGGAGAAACTGCCAGAATGCACACTGCTTACCTTAAGTCGACTATTTAAGTATGCAGTCTTAATCTTTGCCATCTTAGCTTTCTTTCTAGCCCACTGAGCTCTCTGTAAACGTTAGTCGTCGCGAATAAACAAGGGTGTATTAGAGGAGAGTCGATAAACGGCACTCATAGAACGAGCGACAGCATAGTTAACAGCACGCTTTTCGGCGTCGGAGGGTAATGCACTGGAAGAGCAAGAGCTGTACAATGGATGCGAATTGCATTTGTCTATTTTTAAGTACGTTACGGGCAACCCGAGCATCCGGAAGAAAAGGTGTCCCGTCACACCGTGCGTCCCGGCACGTAGGGATGGACGTTAGATCAGTTCTCTCGCAATTGATCGACCTTTTTTTCTGAGTAACTTTGATTGGAGTGACTACTCGATTCCGTAGCGGGCCGTTCGCGTTGACTCAATAGCCGGTAATATCTCTCGTCATCCGAGGTCTTCCGTAGTACTCTCTTAATCGTAACCCGGGCAGCCGGCGCGATGGGCACTAAGAAGATCCGGTATGTTATTTAATTCTTCAGATCTGCTCTTGTTCTGAGTTTGCTCCAGAATTCATTCCAAAACATCAAAGCTCACAATGACGACTACTGCAACCCATTATGGAGAGTACCTACTCGTATTGTCTGGATCGGTGGAGTATGCCCCGTTCTTAGAAAACTGGAAAACTCTTAAAGACAGCGTGCGAAAAAATGCCGGAAATCCAGGGTGGACAGATGTGAGCACAGCGTCACACGGAGGAATACGACGGGCATGGTGCAATCTGTCGATAGAGGGCAAGGCGAAAACTGCATACAGTACGCATCACCATCCGCAAATCGAAGAATGAATATTCACATAAAGCGCCCTAGGATACTATTCGAAAATGCCAGGAGTAGGAGTCTGCTTAATGAAGAGGACATCAAATGGCGAATACCTGCTGCTTCACTACAACTGCGCCGCCCCCTTCCCTGCTGCGTCTCAGTGTAACCATAACCCTTGTGGTCGGCAGGAAAACTGCCAAAGGCTCATGCCTAATAAGGTAGTTCTACCTTGTAACACGAACTTGCTTTGTGTACCTCACAGCATGATGCAACTAAGGGGTTATTGTCTCTTACCCCTACGATATTACCCCTTGTATATAGCAGGTGTACATTTACCTACCTTTGCTTGTGGCTTTGTAAAAGTGCCACTCCCATTATCATAGAGGGTTATCATGCTATGATGTATAGAAGCATTCTCAGCAATTTATAGCATCTACCATCATAATCATATCTATGGTGATATCATAGCGTGCTATTTAGAATGTTTATATTCGACGAAGGGAAAACCCCGCACTATGAGCAATGAGTCACAGGCAATAGTTGAGTTCATATATACGCCACATGTTCCATCGTTACATCCACTAAATAATGTCTTAGTTAAACTTTTGCTTGCGTATGTTTATATAGACCTGTCAGAGTCGAATTTTTATAACCAAGATATCTTCACGGGCTCTATACATTGTACATTACAAACCTATCATACGATGTATGTAGTGCAAATCCTCCTAGCATCCTTAGTGACTACAGCTCGAGCACACATGTCGTTGTGGTATCCGCCCCCTCTCGGTGGTAATAGAGAAGCCAACTCTTTCACAACACAGGTGGATAAGGAGTTCAACTTTCCAATTGGATGCTGCAATTCTCAAGGAGAGCCAACACTGCCTTCCCCTGGCGATTGTCGTGGTCATCTTGCCCTTCTAGATACAGAGGAGGGCAGACCACAAGTCACATGGGAACCTGGCCAGGACGCGTACTTTAAGTTATCCGACCACATATATAGTATCGGTGTTCCAGGATCAACTCACTACGGTGGAAGCTGCCAAATTGGATTCTCTGTGGATAAAGGTCAGACATGGAAAGTCGCGGCTTCATACCATGGGAACTGCCCTCACAGGGACAAAGACATGCCACAGGTGTTTGAATTCAAGGTCCCTCTAAACATACCAACAGGTACAGCAGTCTTTGCTTGGATCTGGTTGAACCGTGAGCATGAATTCTTCATGAACTGTGCAGCAGTTCAGATCAGTTCAGGTTCTAGCAGTACCACCACGCGCACTTATACAAGCTTTAAGACCGTTCCTACAACACGTTCTACTGCACTGTTAGATCCTAGTAGCGAGTCACCAAGGGGAGGTGAGCAAGATAAATCTAAAGGCTACGATGAAGACTCGATAGCCTGCAGCAGTTCGTACGGTGCAAAGCTGACTAGAAGTGAATGGGAATACATCAAACATCGTCATAGTAGGAAGTATTCTAGACAAAACTACCATATTCGTAAATCTAACGTCTTAGCATCGCCTGAAAAGCTCCATCGCAGGTTAGAAAACCCAGCTTTCGATGTTTGCGATTGGAACACCGCACCTAGGATGGAAACTAGCTACTATTCTGTAGATGCACAATGCGCACCTAACGCTAAATTAAAGAACCCAAAGAGTGATGACTTTGAGATTGGCTGGGGTGATGCGTGCGGCGTCGTCGAGGGAGACAAAGTGTACACTATTCAGAACATCGTGTGTTAAGGTTAGGGTCCTAGCAGATTTGCGAAGATGCTGTCCTAGTCTTTTTTATCGCAAAATTGAGATTCACATAGTACAACTTAACTAGTAATAGACCCTCTAACATTATCAATACACGTATTGTTTGATTCTCTCCTGCGCCCCCTAGCCTATACCTAATTCAGAGACTTTATGTCATTATTTCAATCAGACTAATATATATAGAATACAACTGATGGCTTGTATTCGTACATATAAACAAAGAAAGCATAATTATTACAAAACAGCCCTGTACAAGTAGCAGACGCAATACTTTCCAGTTTCGAGCACATCGCTGAGAAAGATGGCTATTCAAGACGGTTGTTGCACTTCTTGTGAATATATTCGCAACATTGTGCGGATAATATGGGGCTTCAAGCTCCGTCGCGGTGAATGTTGATGGAGTAGATTGACATGCTGCAGCCGCAATGATACCGAACCGGTCAAGTACATAGTCAACTGGCAGATCAGATTGGGCAATTGTCTCATACTTTAAAGTGTATGCTCTGCGGCCTTTCCTTTCAAAGTCGGTTTTGCCTGTCCAAGCAATAAGGTGCTCCAGGTCGACTAGGTAGAAAGGGTTCGATGTCTTTCTTAGAAAACGCCCTTCTGTAATCCTTCTCAAAAGTAGCTGGTTAAGCTTAACCCGGGCGTCTTCCCAGATAGGATTTCGAGAAGCAGCAGCTGCAAGTACATCGCAGTACTTGAGTCCCATCGAAGCCCACTCGTAGTGTTGAACCTTATTCATGCCCCAATATTGGGCTGTCTTAACAAGCGGAGCGAGACACTGCTTACTCGTTCTAATCTTAGATTGTGCCGTATTGACGAATTGCTCCCATTGCTTCGCATCAACGAGAGAATCTCGCTGCGGCTGTTCGTTCTTTCTATAACGGTAACACTCTTCTATCATAACCTCATTCAGTTTTGTAAACAGCCAGTCAGCTTGTCTTTGCTGTGAAAGCATCTCGTTGCGTATAGCCATGCATGCTTGGAATTTTTCATCTTCAGATAATATAGAGCGTAATGAGGACTGAAGTGCGCGGATGTTTGGTGAGGTAGGATTGAAGTCGAGTATATCGGTACTTTGAAGGCTTAGCGCTGAACAGATACTTCACTGTAAGACCTACTTTTGAGTTATCCTTTCCATCTTTTGCAAAGCTAAAAGCCGAATGATAGACTATTGTGCCCTTAAACAGCTTATATACCTTAGGGGCTAGTGTTTTCAAGAGGTTACTAACCCTTGCACATGATGTGTACGGGGATCAGGTACTATTGGTAGTGCTACGCACGTGCCTCTGCGTCATCTTATCATGACGCTAGGAACGCGATATCTGGCTGACCTTCTTGCCCTTACATCATTTACATATAGTTACCCAATTTTTGCTTGTAAGATTCCGAACTACCGAGCATACACACAACGCAATCTCAATATAGTGTCTTACATATATAAGCGAATGCTCTGTTCTTGATGTAATCACTCCATCCCCCATCCAAAAAGGTTAACAGAGATGTGCAGGCTGTCGCCGCTCACCGGTTAACTACAGCCTTCTGTTTTTCGAGATGCCTCTATTACCACAACTTGTGTATTACCAAAAGCTTGCCGACGATAACCGACAAGAAGATATTGCAAGTAGTGGTGTGGAGAAAAGCATTGCGTCTCTTGGATACCTTCTCTTTCTTTCGCCGATCCGGCGAAGAATCTTAGACAGTGTGTCCGCCTTCGACGCAGCTAAGTTAGTCAACCTGAAGTTGTGCGTTTTGACTGCAAAGGAAAAAGAAAAGTATCTTAACCCGATCCGAGATTTGGTGTGGGATGTACCTGCGGTCGAAAGACTTTCACGAGAGGGCATGAAACTGATGTTGCTTGGAGACGGCGCTTATGCACTCGAGCAGCGATTACACGTGACAGAACGTTATTTAAACTCTCGTGGGAATGGAAGGCTCACAATCTACCTATTGGGCACATTCCCAGTATTCACGCCGACAGCGACGACGCTCGACTCACTAGTCGAATTCAGCATTACAGGACATTCTAATCTTGTACGATTTCACTGTGACAAGTATCAATTGGGCCGCGTTCGCGCTGTTTCAGACACAGATGCGAAGAGAGACTTTCTTATGAGTTTCAGTGTGCCAATGCAAGCGTCTATTAATCCTATCAAGGGATTTTGGCATAAGGTAGACGATGTTCCAGATCGTACGGTTGATTTGTGGGTGTATGTGCCTTCTTTGCGCGATCGTCTTTGCAAAGAAGTCAGGCTAACACCACTGGACGTGCTGCGAATCGTGAGAGCAAACGCACTACTCGTGTCACTACCACGCTCTCCTTTAAAACCAACGCTCATTACAACGTGTAGAAAAAGAAAGTTCCACGATGCAGCAAACAGCGCTTTGCTCAGTTCACTAGGTTTTATATTGACACTGAGCCAGCTGTTTCATATATATGCAGGACACTATCGGTTGAGGAAATGGTTGCTCATAGCTGGGGGTGTACAGTCTTTGGAAGGAACTCCCATAGATCAGATTTTGAGCGACGAAGTTTCTGTGCGCCGGCTGGTCGCACATTATAGAACATCTTTATTTAGTGTTGATTCAGGTTCACGGACAGCGATCGATTTCACGCAAGTGCCGAACATACGGCTCTTCCTCGACGTAGCCAGCTTCAGCACCTTGGGTGGGAGAGTCACTCTCAGTTAATTTTCAAATAATTTTACCCATTCTCAGAATGCCCGTAATGCCATTGAGGAGTCGAAGGCAATCATATAGAGTCACGTTACCTCAAGATGTGATATTTGAAGTTTAATCCATCTCGACATAGGGTGTTTTTCGACTAATAGAGATGGATGTAAGTGGCTGCGCTCCGGAAAGTAGACGCTAGGCAGTTAAGCTGCGATTGAATAATTCTATAACCTTACAAATGTTTAGAGGCATGCACAACTACATATTATTACATGTAGGAGCTCATTTCGACACTTCCATGGGACCAAAGGGCCCGAACCTGCCTCTCATGTTACACTAATTAGCGATTGCGGCCTCACCGTTATGTACACGCAGCTACGTAATGATTTGAATAATCCCGCCTTGTGTAGTTACATAGCTTGGCACGAGCAGTCAGCTGCAGAGCAATCAACATAATTGGTCAATTTTCAGTCTTACGATGACGAAACTTTTAAGATGCTGCCTGAAGTGGTGAAGCCGCAATCACAGTAGTCCTGCCGGTACAGGTGACGCTGTGAACGATGAGTTGCTGTATTGTGCCGTTGATTTGAGTAAGGTTTGCTTATGCGATAGCGGTCAAGGCTGCACCGTGCGGCCCCGTCTACCGATCCTAAGGTGAAGTAACTACTTCTTAAGCACTTATTAATTACCATAATAGTCGATCCGCACTTATTGAGCGCGGTACCCTACGTGTCACAGCCGTGATACAGCACACATATATAAATGTACATATGTACACTGATATACAATGCAGAATTTTCCACCTGCGAGCTAAATACATCTTGGTTCTTTACCACTGTCAGCCTTGGGCTCGCACAAGAAGTGTATAGTACCTAGGCTCACACTCCAACAGCGCATCTTATGTGTAGCCTCTGCAGCTGCTTCTCAAGGTCTACTGCGCCATCCCAAACCCATTGATTTTTTTTCGCTACCAACCTACCCACCATATATCCCGCATGACACAGAAATGCCAACAGCGCGAAGGAAGATATGATGCGCAGGAAAACCCGTACGGTGGTTGTGCCAGCTATGGCACTGCCAACCCATACGGCGGAAGTGTAAGCAGTCGCATTTCCAACATAACATCATCAGACTGATACGACAGTATAGTACGACCAGCTGCAGCAACAGCTCAATTCTCCTGCTCCCCTCCAGCGCCATGGCGAGTTGAATTACTCGCAGCCATCGCAATACTCGCAAGCTGGTGCCTTGGGCCCGTCCAACACGACTGCGCCAAACACCCCTCATACAGACGTGCCTATGAGCAGCTTGCCTGCGCAAGTCAACACTATGGAGGCGCATGGATCCCAGCCTCTGAGCCGAGATGACTTCTTTGCGCGCATTGAAGGCGCGAAGGAGCGAATCAGCCAGCTAAACTCTGATATCCAAGCTATTGCCAGCATCCACCAGCGCATGCTTTCCTCGCCTGACAACTGCTCCAGTGCCGAACTCGAGGCGATTGTAACCAGGACGCAGATTAGGAATACACAAATGAAAGATGAGATTAAGTTCTTAGAAAGGGATACTATGCGTGATCCTAACAATAGAACAAAGAGGTCTCAGATTGAGATGATTAAGAGAATATTTAAGAGCCAGCTCGAGGACTTGCAGAAGGAAGAGGCTGATTATTCTAAGAGATACCGCGAAGCTATTGGGAGGCAGTACCGCATCATCAACCCGGATGCCACGGATGCCGAGGTCGAAGAGGTGGCCAATTCCGACTTGGGCGACGAGGGCATCTTTACCCAGGCTGTAAGTATGAATTGAGAGTTGGATATCAAGGAAACTATCTCTAACACACCCTTAGCTCAAATACAACCGTAGCGGTCAAGCGGCCAGTGTTCTCGGCGCGGTACATGCGCGCCATAACGACATTCAGCGCATCGAAAAGACCATGAGCGAGCTTGCTTTACTATTTACTCAACTAAACGAGCAAGTCACCTACCAAGACCTGCTAATCGCAGAAGCAGAAGTCCAGACTGTGCAAGTAGAGGGCGATAGCAAAGAAGCAAACCAACAGCTAGGCAAGGCCATCAAGTCGGCCAAGCGGGCTAGAAGACGTAAATGGTGCATCTTACTGACCATTGTCACAATTCTTTGCGTGATTGCTCTGATTCTTGGATTGTACTTTAAGCTGAAACCCAAATAGACGGATGCGGCTGAGAACAATGTGAGTTCATAGCTGCCATACATACAAAACACAGCTAGGACAAGAGGAGATAAGAAAATAGGGTGCTCATATTGCGAGAGAAGAAGGGCATTTCATTTGTCATCCTTTAAGCAATAGGAATAGCTATCAGCATCCGCAGCATGAAGATGCAAGTAGATGGCGCGTGATACTACACCCCCAAACCACATTGGGTTTCCATGTACAGACCCAACAACACCTACTAGCTAATTAGGAAGCTAGTTAATACAAATTCTGACTGGGCGGCAGGCCCTGAAATTAGCAAAAGCGTATGACATAACTGTATAGCGGTCAATCCGGAATGACGAGCCCGTGAAACAGTCGGCTAATGCCTGGCCCCAGACTATAGAAGTACGAAAATCTATTTACTTGCTATTATCTTCGTGGAGCTTAAGATGTTATGCTTTTATTCTCTAATAGATTTGTGTTTAAATGGACATGTTAGCAATTTGGGGCTATTTGGCGGCAAGTGCTGACAAAACAAGGCTTGCAGCATCTACTTCGCTAAACGACTTCATCAGAGAGCCGGATAGGGAGATGGTATGAGTTGATGTGAGCGCCTACTGCAGCGTGGATGGCAGTTTCGCTTAGTATTGATATAAATGCATAGCTGTAGTTAGTAAAAAGATGAACAGTGAAAATAAGGACAAGGGGGTAACAACAATAGGCAATGAGAGGCTAGATTTGCTGTCAGAATCATCATTTGATTTTAACGTAACTAAGTATTGAAAAATGTTGTCAAAGTTACCGATATCGCAATCATTTCGTCACACTATTGTTGTCTACATCGCTCACAAGCAAGTGAAAATCTGTAACTCACACATATATTGAAGCCAGAAGGTGGAAAAATTCATACATACAAACACGCCCTTCAGCGACGAACAGGCTAGTAACTAACAAAGTGCTTCGCATCGTTCGTCGACCTTCGAAAGTGACGAGACTCGAGTACAAGGCAAACATGCAAACAGGATCTGTAATTGTTAGCAGTGGAATTTTATAGTAAGTCTGCGTCGTAAAAAGAGCGCAAATCTATAAGAAGAAGCAATTGGTTATATTAAGACCTACTTTACATAGTAACTTAGACCTTACTTTGCTATTTAATGCACCTGTGTTGTATGCAATTGTATCCCAGGTCACTAGAGCTAAAGCTTTGAGGGCAGAGACGATCAGGAGATAGCCGGCCACGTCTAGGTTTTCTCGGAAGCGGAACCGGCGCATGTAAATACGCACGGCGATAACGGTGTAGACTAGGACCAGCAGGATCCATTCCAAAACCTTGTTTCAGTCAGCCATGACTCGTAACCACCAAACTTGTCAGTGTTCTACTATGCAATATATCCCGCTGGTGGTGTATGTCATTTTGAGAGTTAAGAGTCATAGGTTATGCATGTGCACGGTCGTATGATAAGGGTGAAGGACAGACCCAAGTTAGAGTGATAGGCAAAACAGCGCTATAGGTGATGGATGACGGACATTCAGTACTTTTAAAACACAAGCACATGGATTTACAGCCTAGTATCACCTCATCAACGTGTCCTGTTAAAAAAGGGCCCTTTCAAGTCTTCTAGGCTGTGACTCATACGTGGTCCTTAGATTTGAGGTTGCTTTATGTTGCTGCATATATGTAGTTATACAAGAGATTATATTCGATAGAGAGCTAGAGTCTAGGCTATAGAACTACATATCTATATACAATGTATATTACCTAAGTAACAATTAGACTAGGCAGGTGGGTAAGCGAGGTCGTAGACGAGAAGAAGCGGCGAAGGCCGTTCAGCCCGTTACAATGAATGTTAAATGCGAACTAGTTAAAGAGTCTGACTATAGTTCTATTGAAGTCTAGACTACTTGCTGGCCGTTTTGAACCCCCTCAGGATAAATGCATGTTATTTAATTAGTAGTCCGCGTGCATAAATTGAAGTCCGTCTAAAAGTGCATATAGAAATAGAGCAGACCTCGGAAGGTCAGGTTTTTAAATATATAATGCAGAACAGAATACATCCCTTACTAGTTACATAAGTCTACAGCTTAGTATTAAACATTTACCTGACCTCAATATGCGGTATCAACACTGGTGTTTTACAAGCGCATTATTGGGTAATGTCTTCGCCCAATCGACAATGTTGATAGATCTTCAGCATAACCGTGTTGAGCAAGCTGATTGCCCGCGAAGGGTAAGCAAAACATTAGGCGCTTAGAATCAAAGTTAACGGCTAGGCGAAGTTACACTTTTGTTCAAAGACAGCATGGAGCGAATGTGCTGCACCAATCATATCATCCGACCGCTGCGTAGCCGCCGACAGGCTTAATAATGTCGCGTCTATTGCAATCGACTTAGGTTTATGCTGCCAATTCTTTAGGTATGTCCGATCTTATGTTGAGTCTATAAGCAAGCCTCTAATCATTTAGTGATGATACATGTAATACGGTATATAAAGATGGAGAAGGAGAAGGGCAATGGTACCCCGGCCTAAAGGAGGTATCTGGTACTTTTAAAGAGCAAGTGGGCAGTTACATGTGCAAGAATGGGACTATTACATCGGTTTGCCCCGGGGAAGGTGCTGGAAACTTAGTGGCTTCTAAGAATGCGGCTACTCCCACTGCTGATTAGTACATTATCTAGAGTTCTCTTGCTTCTTTTTAAGTATCGTTCAATCCAAGCTCCTGTTAGTTTTTAAACGTGGCCACTACTTCGATACTTACCCGTTATTAGCGCTGCATCCTTACTGCATGTTGCATATAAATACTATACATATACCTATAAAAAAGCTCTTTTTATAGTCAAAAAGGATCTCTATGCTATCCTATTTGTCCTGACACATCTATAGTAACATCCTTGCCTTACTCTATATGATTCTTGATACGAGTTCTATACACGGATCGCAAGCATTACTAACCAGTTAGTTAGTTAACTCATCTAAGTTAAATAGCCTATGTACCTAGTTGCTCTTTTGCCTCGTTAAAGTTCGGCGGTTAAGTTCTTTAAGTTGTTTTATATGCTTCTCCGCAGGAATGATGAGTGATATAATAGACTCATATTAGGGATAAGCGCCTGAATCGCGAGGCATAATAAGGGTGAGGCATGACAGACATGTTTCTAGCGCCAAGGGTAACTTGAATAGCCTCTTGTGATCCTTATGTAATTATACGAGGTACTGCTGCCGTTTTAATCATACGCCATTAGTTGTAAAATATGTTATTGTTTTTGTGTAGAGTAACGGGATCAATGATATAGCAAATTGTATCTAACTAGTCCCATTTACGCAATTTCCTGCAATGCATTTGGAACATGCCTAATGGGCTAAGCTCAAGATCTTTTCCTCACACATAATCTCTCCTATTGTCTGAATAATTAATCCATAAATTCTGTTGTCATTTTTTGTTAATACCTAAGTCTAATTAGCTACGTACTGTGGCATAACACGTGATCGAATTTGAGTCAACCAAGGGGGATAGTCACGAGAAGATGAAAACTCATTGCTGGTAGTGAACTGAGTGAAAAAGGTACCTATTAACGCCGAAAAGAAATTTGGATATATGCTGACAATCTAGTCATATGCTACAACACTACAATATTAATAGTGCAGATCGCCTTGCATGGCATCTCGCTTTCTCAGGAAGAGATAAGCTGATAATCTAGTAAACGTTTGTGCTAGACGTTAAGCTTATTCTTCCACTTCTTAGCCTCTGTCTCGAGCGTATGCTGCAACCCTCGTACATAATCTATGAAGCTCCCAAACTCATTTGGCCTTGCTTCCTTTAGGGTATAGCCTTGAAGGTCTTGTATCACTCCTCGTACCTCAGCACTATTTGACATTACATTAGTGGTGTAGTCTTCGACTGTTTTGGATTGTTGTTCAAGATAGCCATTGATGCTGTGAATCGCCTGTTTTGCCTTTTCCTCGGAATCTATATCTTTCAACCCTTTGAAGACATTATTAACAATTTCCATGGCAAGTTCGAACTTGGTATGCGATAGACTGACCAGCAGCGAGTGTTTTGCAGCCAGAGCATGTCCTTTATAAGTAGCCACCTCCTTCTTTGCCTCATTTGCAATCTTGATCTGTTCCTTCATCCTCTCTAAAGCCTTGATAGCGATCCTTTGATGCTTTTGAACCTCGTCTTTAAGTCGGACCTCGTTCGCAACAAGCCGCGCAATCTCAGCCTTATGGGTGGTGATAGTTTTGATGTATCCTTCATTCCGCTCCGTCTTCTGCAGGTTTGCTACCAATCTTTTTAGATTGAAAATAGTCTGCGTCTGGTTTGAATCCTGGCGCTTGTAGAAGTCATTTGAAGTTCGGAGATCTTCTGCTTTAGCAAGTGAATGCTCACATTCACGCTCAAGTTGTACTTCCCTCTCTATAGCCTTCTTGAGTTACTCCTCTGTTTCTCGGCACTTTTGTAATTCCTCCTCCGCATTCTTGATCTTTGTTTGCAAACTTTCCCTTTCGTCCTTAGCCATGCGAAGAGCGCGTGCGCTCTTCCCCGCCTTCGAGCGAAGCACGACGTTTGTCTCGGCAAGTTTACGATTCAAATCGTTCTAAGTCTCGATCATTTTAGAAGATGTAATGCAAACCTTGTTTAGACGAGCCTTATTATCCTCAAGAGTTTGCTTAAGGTTGTTTTTCTTGATTTCTTTCAACAAAACGGTAGACTCGATTTCCATAATCTTCTATATAAGGTCCTTTTTCTGTTCGTCACTTGTATTGCTAGCCTTGAAGTTGGCGAAGGCATTGTGATGAAGATTCCTTGCGCTAGAACTGAGGTTTGCCGCTTCCTGGCTCCATTGGTGACCCGACCATCTTCCGGCGGCAATTTCCCGTTCATAATACTCGGTCGTCTCTCTACATGCTCGCATTGCTTGATCTGATTGGTGTTCGACATGAGCTATGTAACTTTGTAGAAAGTAGATATGATGGCTGAGATTGGTGATTGTCTCATTAGCCACGTATATTTGAAAAGCTTGGGCTTGCAATTTATATTGGTAAATGTCGTTCAGCGTACGCGCTTTGGAAAGTTGGTTCCGAGTTTCTTGAAGCTCGCCGAGAAGTTGATGACTTCGGTTCTGTAACCCTGCGTTCTCCCGATTCACAAACGCTTTGATTTCTGCTGGCTCCATATTGAAAATCCTGCTCGTACTAGATCTGGTTGGGCAATGTATAGTCCTCATTGTAGAACTTGGGATTTGTGGTTTTGCACGAGAGATGGAATGGGAAACACTTTAATCTATCTCAAATTCTTCCCGATTTTGTGGCGCAATAATCGGGAAGGTTAGAGCTAAACAGGGGGAAGTCAGGCAACTAATTTAGGCGTTGAGCCAGCGGTGAAAAGCTTGCATCGTACTCCTCGCCATTCAACGCCACGACGCCTGCAATATTTGACACACTTTCTGTTAGACATTAACTCAAATCACTTCTACTAAGTTGATTTAATCCGGCTCAGCCTACTGCTCCAGTGGCCGCCGAGGGGCAAAACCTTGGAGAGCCGTCGACGTGTTCATACTGCCTAACCAACTAATATGCACAGACAACGAAAGCGGCAATTTTAACACTTGAAGTAGCTATCATACGCGCGTTCTTTAGCGTCGCGAGCTGGTAGCGGACCTCCTCTTCTTCATACTTCTTATCAGTGCTAAAAATACAGGAGTACTTGAAACTACAGCTTTGCGGAGATCATCTAACACCCTATTTTCATCTACAATATTAAGTAGACTAGTTCCCGCTAGTCTCTTCTTAATCCAGTACTGTGCAAGCCTCACAACTGCATGCTCCGGTAAGCCATGTCTAGACCTGTACTGGTGCAGCGTTACCTGGTCACTGCCTTGCGTGTTGTTGATTTCCGAAATGGGTGGAGGCTTAGCCTGAGCACTAGCGCAGTTGCCTATACTGTCAAACTGGGGTTTGAATTGCCCAGTCTCTTCGTAAAAACTTAAGCTTAGAGAACAAATTGCCTTTGCGATCGCAGAGTTCGCTTCGCAAAGCTGGCGAATATTCACAAGCAGCATTTCAATAGGCGCCTGACTGATAGTTTGCAACGCAGCTTCGACGTCTTGGACCTTATCGGCCATAGTAGTAGATAAGAATTTAAGGATCTTTTCTACGTCTGGTGAATGGAGAAACTTATATATACACATACTTTCGAAATTAAGATATAGGTCGTGATTTGTAAGGCGACAGCTAACTGAGGTGTACACAAAATCGAAGGACCTTCCTCTAATCACATACTTCTTGGCAATCGAAATCCCATTTAGGTTCGGTCTCTTTTTCGTATATTCGATCACGTCCATCGGATATCGCTAAATCATATGATAACGTTTCTACTAGGAGCTTAAGCAAATGAATTCAAAGTTATATTACGAAATGAACTATAATTAATTGTCGGCTGTGTTATTCCAAAAGCAAAAAACGACCGGGAGCGTAGTGAGAATTGAGTTTTGCCTAAACCGCCAATGTGGTAGCTAGACGCAACTGATCGATTGGGCTCATTTGTGGCCAGGGCATACGCAAGAATTCGAGATCCTGGTCTAGAATTCGACTAGTTGGTCGAAATCGAGACAACCTATCGACTGTGTGTTGGTAGAGATGGTTCATATCTTCATCTGAGAGCTGCAGTGGACTTTCGATGTGTTGTCCAAGTGAGGTCGAACTGATAGCTCGCAAAAGAAGAACTGCCTTGAATCCACTGCGAATAATCAGTGTTAGATACACATCATGGGTAATACAGTAGTTGACTTACATATGAAGCGTATTCACAGGGTTACCCATAATTACCAGACTACTGCTTGTACCCCGAAATTTCTTGTACACATAACCATCAACTGCACCGATACAGTCAAAAGCGGTAATGCTGTCGAGAGCATATCTCGCCCACTGTTGGATGATATAGATGATACCTTGCTGGCCTTTGGATAGCTCTTTCCCTGAATCCTCCATTCGATCGAGAAATTTCAGAATTCTCAGGTACGGTAACAACAAGGCAGCTACACCCCCGTAGTACTCTGCTCGTAGCGAAGCCATCAAATGGTTACTTGACGGTGGATCTTGATCATTCCAGGCCACGTTTGAGATGTTACTTGATCTCCATCGCTCCATGATGTTGATCTTCAACTCTGCGGAGCTTGTGAAAGCGCACAGATGTTCATCATTGAAGCTTTCGATTGAAGCAAAATCTGGCGGTGGAATTCGCTTTGCAACCTGGAGTACCATCTGGAGCAGTATCCTTGTCCACAAAACATTATCATTAGGCTCTTCCACCGTCTCTCCAGGAAATAATGTGCTCCAGTCGTCAGAGTAAGGAATAGAACAGTCAATGCTGGCGTCATCATGAAAGTTGCTAGGAAAAGAGTCAGACGGGTACTCAAACTCATCATCTCAACTAACCTTGCAAGAATCTGAAAAATCCCAACGCTTCTCATTACTTCCTCGGAGGGGCACTTTCTCGCCGTCAAGCTGCTGATTATTAGGCTAGTTTTCCAGGTAAGAATAAATCGTCTCACCTTTTGACAACATCTGCGTAAATGGAATGAGAAGCGTGTAGGTGTATCAAGCTATCAGTAAGCATTCCGTTTTGGCTAGTGTAAATTGCAGCTAGAGTTGATGTTTTTGCGTAAGCAATGCTTCGATCCCTAAACTTACGCTTGAGAATCTGTTGGGCTGAATGATAGTAGATCATGCCTGGTCTAGTATCAGAGCCCCCTGTATACTCAGCATCTGGGAAACAGCTTCCTATTGCGAGAAACAGTAAAGCCTGGGCATTTTCGAAGCTTGTTTCGACAAGATTGTTCCGCTCTGCTGTGCGACTCATGTCGTCTTGAAAATGAACGCATATGTTCTCAGGCTTGTCGAAAATTGGATATAGGACATGAACGTGATTTAGATAGACACCGAATAGCTGTCGAATTTTTTCGGTCGAAAATGCTGCCGATGTACCTTCTGGTTTAGGTTCGTAGAGTGTGAGATGTGTATGAGAGAATTTTATTTCAAATGCCGCTAGCTGGCCAGCAAAATCGGAAACTTGATTATTCGTATCATTGACAAGATTGTGTATCTTGAAAAGCGTCATCTCTTGACTGATAGAAGTTAGTATAAAACTATGAGTAAGCGGAGAGTACTATACGCAGTTGGTGGTGTCTGGATATATTCGCATTTTTCATTGTCTTCATAACATCTGTTGCATGGAGACTCTCCATTGCATTTTCGCTTTCGATCACGGCACCTATTACAAGCTTTAGGGGTTCGATATTTTGAGGTTTGGCCTGTTTCTTGGTAGGCGTGGTTTTGGTGGTGCTGTGGTTCGTTCGAAGGAGGTTGATAAACCATCTCGCCCAATAACAAAGGGTACGATATAGCCGAATTCTAGAAATGCTAGGTGGCTGAAATGAACAGGGGATGTGGTCGGATTTCTTCGAAAGATCGAAAGTAGTGTTGTCAGGACACAGCAATCAATGATAGCTACAATGAATTAAAATCGGGAGGAAGTGCGACTTATAAAAGCAGGACACAATGCCGGTATATATGCACAGTTAAATAGCCAGAGCTCTCTAAGGGGGCTAGACATCTATCGGCCAGATGCAAAAGGAATTGGCTCCGTGTTCATTGCCCAAATCGGTAGAGAGACGCCACCTTTCTCCACTTCACATCCTTCTTGCCTTAACCATTTGTCACCATAATACATTTCAAGGGGTGCTTGGGACAAAATGGGCTGATGTTCTGCCTGAATAGTCAGAATCAAGACATAGTGTAAACAGTATCGAGGCGTCACCCACTTCCAGCAATTAACTTTATCAACTTTCCAGTCGAGTCGGAGGACACTCGTACAAGATGCCATACACACAATGTTCCTTAAAAAAATTGGTATAACACCAAGGAAAATGGAATGATATTGCAGAACGATCTAGATATGAATACAGTTGTTGACGTGGGCCAGAAGCATTGGAGAACACTTCTCTAACGAAAGCTCTTCGCCTACTCTGATTGGTAAATCATCTGGTAGGATGCCCCGATAAACAGGCTCAAGAATATCCATACACTTGTCCTGAAACTTCAACAACTCCCCAAAAGCCTGTTCACCAACAATATCTTGTAGTTGATTCATAAGACGCTCGTGTGAAAGAAGCGCATCAAGATCCACTTGCTGTAAGAGCATTACAGTATCTGACCAGGTTGCGACAAGTACCTTGTGACCGCGAACACCATTGGAAGTCGAGCAGAAAGAACCTACAGCTACGATTCCAGTGACACTCTCAGGAAGAAAATTTGTCGCCTGGAAAGGAGGTGAGATGCGTAGTTGACCAGTAGCAGCATACGTTGGAGTGGCCTCAACCAGGGCTGTTTGTGGCACAGTTGGTGATGAGGGGTATGAATATGCTGGTCTGGCTGAATCTTGACGGTGTCCCAGAGATTTCCATGATACAGGTTGACTCTCAATTGAGATTAGATCATCAGTAACCAGAAGATGCGCGTTGTTGGTAGTGGTAGCCTCAGTTGACGGATAGAGCGATGTCGCTCTCGGGTCTGGTATGCTGGGCCAATGTCTAGGTCTTAACCATCTCGGTGTCGGAATACACGCGAAGCATGATCGCAGCAATTTCAAAATGTTTTTGGGACTGAACTGTATGGGATTAGTCTTCGCATGTGAAGATAGACGTCGTAGGGTCCTTACCACGGTTGTGTTGGGAATTCTCCTGCAACACCGGCTATCGAACTCTTCCATTCTTTCTAATGTATAGTTGTATATTTCCGTAGAGTTGAATTTTTTTTCATGGAAATCTCCAAAGGTCAACACATCTTCCTCATCTATCTTCCGTATCGAAGAGGTAGATCCAAAGAATTCCGAGATAGTTACTCGAACATAATGGATACCGCGATGGCAATAGACACCATGATAGGCCCTGATGTCTGATTTGGTGGGATTTAATTGCCTAGATTTGGTGTAAATATGTTTGATAGCTTCGCCGTGCTTGGTTACGTGGTGCTGATATGGCTCGTGGCAGGGGAAGTATTTTGAGCAAATCCTGCATTGGTATTTCCCGCCCACTATGTCAAGTCAATATCCATGTTTACTCAAATTACAAACATGGTTCGAAAAGGAAGCCTCTTACAATCAGGGCAAATGACGATGTCTTCTTGAGATGGTTGGTCCTTTAGAGAACCAGGCCAGAAGGTTAGCTCCGTTCTTATCCTTTGAAATTTGGACTCGAAAGATAGGGGCAGGCCACATACCAGAGATACATCTGCAGAAAATGGAACCATTGTGTCAGCAGAACTAGCTCGAAAGAAGGCAACCGGTAAAGGGCGCAAGAGCGGTGAGGCAATGAACAGAAGGACGTTGTAGCCTTGCAGGAAAGGTGCATGATATATGAGTATCTCAACCATTCAACCGACTCTTTTTGGAAACGATTCGGACAATGAGAGGCCACTGTTGTCTGGGATCTGGCTCCAGCCAGGGTGCTTGCCGATGACCGACATGGACGGGAGCGTGGATACGAGGCAACCCGCGCAGCGCGGCCCCAATAGCTTGGCTGGGAGTTGGATACCGTGAGTTCAAGCCACAGCTCCTGTCTGCACAATCTAATCACGTAGTAAAATACTTCATCGGTTGACACCTTTCTAAGACTAGCATGGCAGACTTGGCGATAGCAGGCCCTTTCACAGCTTACGAAGCCTGCAGCGGAAAGGCCTCTTGCTCAACGCTACGCGGATCAGAGTCATGTGGAGCGGTATCTCCGGGTTGGTAAGGTAAGTTTCTGTGGCGTTCAAACCGCAGGGGAGGGCTTCCCGAATGGATGAGTGGGGAAAGCCTGGTGGTAGCTGTCTAGGGCCTTTATATTAGCATTGCCATCCCTGTATCACGCTATTGGCACATTGCACGAGCGGCAACCGAGAAGATACTGCGCGCCAAGAGAGGGGATTGTGCAGGGGCAAACAGAAGCCTTGTTGCCGAGGAATGGATAGCCAAGCGAAAACCAGACATGATGTCTGGTTTTTGCTTGGCGTCGACAGCTTATAGCAAGCACAACACAACGAACACAGACTGTATTCACTACACCCCAATTGAATTTGAGAACACCTATCATATCATGCGCGATGGAACTCGAGTGTACTATCACCAGTAACCTTGGAATCAACTGCAGTGCATCTTCCAATGGCTCAATTACAATACATACAGAAAGCGGACCAATCATCATCAGGTTACATCAAGTATGCCGACAAAAGCGGATTTTAATCAATTCTATCATTGAACAGCACGTGGAAACAGTTCCGTCCCCGACCCAGAGAAATATGAGCGAAAAGATATTCCGGTTTACAGGAAACAGTGGCGCAGAGGACCCAGGACTCCGTGAGGGTAACGACACATTAGGAATTCTTTTCGAGAATGGCAGTAACAACAAACAACCTGGAAAAAGTTTAGAACCCTCAAATCCAGACACAGATTTGACAAAGTTTTGTGAAAATCTCTCGGCAAAGATTTGGACAGGATGGAAGTCAAAACAACAAAAAGACAAGAAGAGCTTGGAAGCATTCCTTTCAGATGGGCAAAGTCTGTTCGACCACATGACGTTTTCAACCCCCGAACAATGGTCATATAAAACTATAGTCGCTTCCGAAAACTTCGGTAACATACAGCTTCCTTTCCACAAAGCGAGTCTGGCTACCTGGTGGAATAATGGCTCAACATATGGAGATTCGGCAGCAATCGCACGCGCCAAGAAACGAATGGTTTTAGCTTTGGAGCCGGAATATGAGAACTTGACACCAAAACTGAAAGATACAAAGCGAAGGCAGATCAATAGATACATAATTCAGGGTAACGTCATTTCCCAGATGTTCCATCTAACGCCAGGTTTGGTCATCACTGCCTCTGATTCTATATCAACAACTGAGTATGCGCTCTAATTTCCATTTGCCCTGCGTCGTTAATATCATTAGGTATGAAACTCTATGGAAGAACAAGGAAATTCCATCTATCAATCAGTTTAGCTGGTTAAGTCAGGAGCTGATCGAAGACTCTAAGCGGTATTCGGAACCAGTACAACGCATATTCACTCTCCTCCATTCCAAATTTCGTAGGTTTTACTTGAATAGCTTTTAGACTATTCTCTAACTATACAGAATCTATACAGGAGCAAGGCACAAACCCTGTCGTTAGTTTGACTCTTCTACGACCTTCAGTACAACCCGAATCTAGTACCGACATTACATTGCTTGGAGACTCTATCGAAACAAGTAAAAACGCTACTAAACGGCGGAAAATCTCAAAACATGGCATGTCCACAACTCAGATGCAGATGTGCAGCAATTACGATGATGATCAAAACGGTCACACATCTAGTTCCGAAGCTGCACTTTCTGATATCCAAGGAGGGCACCAAGCCCCCGATGTTACTCTTGCAGCAAATGTCCTTCACTCGCTCCAGCATGGCAGCCAAAGTCATGTGAACTTAGTTGCAACAGGTTTCTCGCCTCTAATGCGAGCTCAAGCATCGTCATTCGCCTCGGGTACTTCAGAGAAATGCAGCACGGCAGTGTCTAGTGTGGCATTTATAGAGGTGAGCAACGCGTCAACAGAAGAACACCAAGCATTGAGTGGTGGCAGCGGCAAATTTATCATGCAATCATCTCATTCATCAATGATTGATCTACATCGCTCGAACCTTAGTCAACAGCACTTATCTAGTCAACTTGATGTGCTGTCAGACGGACCAGCAGAAAATTCGCCTCGAAATAACGTAGATCTGCCGGACCGAGGCTTAGACAATGAGCTCGAGTCGCCGCTAACGACAGTTGCAGATGGGTTATTTTTGAGCGACTTTATGCAGGAATACCAAGACATTATGTAAAGACATAGGCGGTCATCAAACTTATGAGTCGTCTCCATCATTACTTTTCATTCTAATGATTGTGCTGAAATGGTAGTACACAAAAATTAGCGGAATCTGACACTGAGAAGGAAACTTCCTCAAGCACTATGTGTATTCCTTTCTCGAACGGCTTCGCTACCTTCTCCGCCTTGTTCTTCCAAAGATAGATGGTAGCTGGCTGAGGGGTCTCAAGCAGTGGAGTAGTAGGTACGATAGCGAATATCTCCCCTCGCTTGGTAGTGATGCAACCAGATATGTTGCGCATAATTTCTGGCTGCATAGACGGACGGCTCAAGCGCTTTCCTACCGCATTGCCGATATCGTTCAACTAAGTATTGTTAGCATTTTTATCGGAAGTGCTGCTGATTACATACTCTAGACCGAAGAACTTCATCGACGATGGCTTTATGAGTTTCATTTTCTTTATATCGAAGGACAGTGAAATTTGCAGTACTAAGTGCCGAGTGGTCACCAAGTTTCAGCTCTGCAACTCGTTCGTCGAGTTTTGAGTGGGTGGGCAGATAGATGTGTAATGACATGAGAGAAAATTGTTAATTTTAGAGTTATAGACACAGAGTTGATGTACTTGATAACACATTGAAGCCTTGTTGGCATTAGTCCGAACACGCTGGCGAACCTAACTTGATCAACTAGCGTCGTGCCCCGCGCCCCACGGCACGTGCCAACGTTGTAGAATGCCAAGACTTATGCCAAAACCCCGCGAGAGCGACGCTTCAGCTAGACTGTCGGCCACTTTCAATTGATTCAGTATTGGCACCATTCGTGGTCCTCTGCTGCCCAGTATCGTTGTTGGGTGACATATGGTCGCTTAAATAAATCGAGCGGTTTTCAGAGCGAACGTCATCATTCTGAGTACAGGCATCATAGCCACGACTAGGTCTATTACCAGCCATGCCATTTGCAGTTTGCTCGTCGTTTCGATCAGGAAGAGGGTCAAAATCCGAAGACTCTATGTTATTTTCAGAGTGAGGCATGGATATTGATAGTGCTACTCCTGTCAGTGGCGGGAAAACTTTAGTTAGGCAAACCTACCTTTAGTACGTTTCCCAATGAACGAGCCAATCGTACACTATCAGTTGTAGTAGAAGAGCCGACAAAGCACAAATACTTCTCTGGTTGGGTTTAGGGGCGAGAGACCTGCCAACACACCTCTGTGTACACCTGGGATGGGCAAATGTAACGAGGTAAGTATAACCAATTTAGAGTACCTGTGGACTGCTGGTTGACGACCGTGCTTTATATCAACATCTATAACCCTACCTGCGCTTCATGCTGATCAGTAACCACCGTACCCTGGCTCATGATACACCAGATCCGCCTATTTGCAGAAGTGGCATATTCTTGGATCACACTTGGATCCATGCTGCAAACCAAGGAACAACGCCACCCTTTCACCGAATCATGCAGCTTGCTGTTGAGACATTTGCAGTTGCAGGAAATTGCATTAAGGTGATGGATTATCGCTCTAATTATCATGGAGCAGTATCTTGTGAATTAGCTTTCGACATTATTCGACAGTAAGAAAACAACAGCAAATCGATCAAAGCATTTAGTCATACTAGTAGTTTCATTAATCCGTGAAACGATGCAAATGAAACAACAAGAAGAGACACATACTACAAGACGCTTGTGTACTTTTGGTCGTTGTTCAAGCACAGGAGGGTAAGTTCTCATTTAAATAAAGGCCAAACGAACACCAAACGAACACCAAACGAACACCAAGAGAAAGAGAACTTAAGCGAAGAGAGCGTGTGTATTACTAAGCGGAGCTAGGTTGAAAGCAGAATTAAAGCAGCTAGTCAGGTGGCGCAGTTAAGTATGATCACGTGAGATGATAGATGCGGAAGGTGGGGTAGTTATGACCCAATTCATCGCCGCCTGAATTTCTTTCACGTTGCTATTTCATCGGGCATCAACGCCATGCACACTCATCTTGCGAAAAGGCTTTACATTAGGCACTCAAATTTCCATCACACTTATACATTTCGAAATCACTCGAATTATTGTACCCACTACTGCTTTTACGAGTGAAACTTCCTGTAAGACATTCTCAACAGCGTGTACGTTTAGTAGATAATGCTAACCTTCAAGCTTACATAGCTGTCTACAGCACAGATCCTCAACTTCAGACGTGAATACCACCCAATCTCTACAGTCAAACCGCCCTTTGCCAACCTCAGAAGCCGAACGTAAGCGTGCGCGCGGACTAGAGCAAGACACAACTACTGTGTCACTTCAACGCATACTTCTATCCACGCAGGACATAGAACGCACAATACAGAACTGAAGGGTGAAACTTTTATCTCAACTTTCAATCCTTCTCTCATGCCTGAGGTAAACACCAATCTAAGTGCCTGGTCCAAACCCTAGTTGACATCGCATCAGGCTGAAAGAACCTCCAATGGGGATTATGAAGAAATCGATTATTGTACATTCGAAGCAGTTGATTACGACAGACTTATGTCTTGGAAGGCTGGTGACGGTAGAATAAGTGTTGGTGTTAGAGAAATGACACAGCAAAACGCACGCATAGATACAATTGACGCTCTTCTACCCAGGGGTCGAAGCGTGATCGTTAACAAAATGAGTTTCAAATTGGTGCGGGGGAACTAGGGAAAACCTTCATTCCAAATCGCACGACCTGTGTCAAAATTTATCTTCACTTCCAACTTAGCGTCGTAATGGTCGCCATTTGGAAAAGACAGCTTTACTGCTTCAGTTGTTGGGTTTCCAGTTTCCTCTTCTATCTTCCTGGATTTGCTAGTCGCCATTGCTGAGTAGAGGTACTCACCCAGTACCGCCCTCCAATCCTCAACTGATTTCATATGCCTCTCTTCTTCTAAAATAGAAAGTCCATGTATGAAGCACATCCAAATCTCTAAGACAAAGTCCTCACCAGAGTCGCGTGCGAGGTATAGAGAAAATGCTTTAGTGAGTTTGGTTTGTTCCCCAATTCTCATCTTGCTCGCTTGAGCAGCTTGAAACAGACGATCACCAACGTATCGTTCCATTATGTCTAGGTCTGCCATGATAGCTACCTTGGCATTTTCGCCGTTATTTGTAGTATCGCAGTTGAGTTGCTTTAATAGAGTCAAATGAGAGTAGGCACTATTGGCCCAAGCCTTTCGAGCTTCTGGGCTAGGTATACTTCGTGCAGCATCCCATATTGCATCTTCTGCGAAGCATTAGCTAGAGACCTTTGCAATGGAGATTGGCGCACCAAATACATCGGCTGCACTTTGACCGGTTAATGTTGATCGAGTTCTTTCCAAATCAACCACTCTTTCAGAATGTGGTAGCCGGAAACATTCTGAAGCAACCATCTTGAGTTCATTGGGATAGGTAACATGTTTCCACCATTTCCTTAACGCACTAATAAAAGGTTGTGGTTCGATTTTAACAAACTCGGCTCGACATTTTAGGGAAAGTACAAGGAGTAGTACCCCGTCGCCAAATTCTTTTTGAATGCGTTTTGACAACCTATGTGCTCGAAGTTGGATGCTTTTGCGACAACCGGACAAGCGAGCAGCGTCATCATGGAGTGTGGTCTTCCAACGTTGAATGTCTCGAGATGTAGGCTTTTGGTACGTATCATTCTCGAAGGTAATCCTTTTTTTCTCAAGCTGCTTGATAATTTCTGAGTATTCCATTATGCTGATACAGCGAAGTGCAGACGAAGCGATAACGAAGCGATAATAAGTTGAAGGCGAAGTGAAAGCAAAATAATAACGAAGCGAGAACGAAGCAATGGCGGGAGGATAGTTAAATAGTATTGGAGCATTATTGAAGCACTAACGAAGCGCTCCCTAAGCGCTAACGGAACGCTAACGAAATGATAACGAAACAATAACGGAACGTAGAAGAAATGACAAATTTACCATATCGGAACAACAATTAAGCAGTAGCATCATTAGGACTGCGTAAGTGAGCTAATTAAACGACCATGTCTAAATAGGCTAAGCCTGCATGCATATAGAACAGGAAGGGGAAAAACCCCTAGCAAGCAATACCTTAATATCGTCTCATTCGCACGTTCTAGGTTCGACAAGTCGTATCAATTGGGCAAATCCATGTATGCCAAGGTGGCATCGCGGAACACGCTGTGCCAAGGTCTACGACACAGCATGCTTAGACACCTTAAGATCGATCTAGCTTAGTCAAAGTTATATCCATAAACAAGGGTGTGGGGAAAGAATATCACGGACGAGACGAACGAGAATGCTCCGTAGGGTAGAGAAAGATGATGGTGGGGAAGCAGCGAACCTATGGAGAATCTGGTCTCGTTTTGGCGAGATGAAGTGGGGAAGACGGAACAATCGGTGTCCGAACTACGTCGGCTGTCTGCCAAGTCAGCCTAGTCGGGCATAGCTGAGAAAGCACGGCTGCAACCCAGTCCTCCTTTGTTGGCAACCAAAAGATAGTCCACTAAGCAACCTTCACACGTCTCTGCCCACGTCCAGTACGCCTCTTCTCCCGGAAAATCCGTCGCAAGTAAGCCGTCTCTGCGGAGATATATCGTCGCCGCTACAGCATTAGGTACCTAGCGCCTGCCTCCTGGTTTTTAGTACATGTATATGCTTCTGTTGATAACATGTAAGTTCACCAAGTCTTGCCGTAGTCTTTGATTGTGTCTAACTACTGCATTCCAGCTCATTGATGACTCTGCATTCTAACGTAAATTCTCTTCCTGTACTCTTTCGGCACTCTTCCCTCTTACTACTGCCAGCGCGCCCTGCGCTCAGATCGATCCTACACCTCCCTAGTGTTTGAAACATGGACAACGGCTCGATTGAATATCCAACTGGATTCGGTTTAAAGGACATTGTTGCTTATGGAAACACCGGTATGGTCTGCCTCGACGCTGCGTCGCAAACTATCATTAAAACCCCGCATGACGAGACATATGCCGACTCCCTTAAGGTGGAAAGGCGCATCTACGAGCGATTTGAAGAGCGTGGTGGCCATAACGGACTCTTGCGATATTATGGGCCTTTTGATAGATTCGGTATACGACTCGAGTACGCACCTGGATTTGACCTACGTTCAACCCTTTCTGAGCGCATGGACATTGGCTATGCCCAAAGACTCCGTTGGGTCCAGCAAATAACAGATGCGCTCTCTTTTGTCCACTCAGTCAAAGTTATTCATGGAGACCTAACCTGTAGTAATGTTTTCTTAACAAAAGGTCTAGATGCTAAGCTGGGAGACTTTGGAGGATCCTCACTCGACGGATCCAATCTACTAGTTGCGATAACCGAAAGTCACCAGTACCCAGGAGTATTGTTGTCAACACATGCTGACATTTTTGCTCTCGGCTCAGTGATTTATCACATCATGACAGGAACTGCTCCATACCATGGACGCTCAGACGAACAAATTGTCCGTCTCTTCCAAAAAGGCGAGTTCCCCAGCACTACCTCACTTGGGCCGGTTGGGCAAGTCATCACGAAGTGCTGGCAAGCAAAGTACGACAGTGCTGAGGACGTACGTGATGATATTGAAGGTGATGAACGTATAAGCTAAAACTAAGTCCGCTTTACTGATGAAAGTATAAGCAATCATCTCCGATGGAAACCCCCATTTGACAAACGTACCGCCTTCCTCATCATTCCCCATCGTCATCCTCGCCGTAGGAATTGTTGCAATTGTTCTTGTCAAGACGTCAGCGTGGTCTAGATTGGGTTGGAACTAAGCATACCGAGGCTCGTCTATTATGGCAACCATTACAAGCACCTAGGGCATGGCCCTGGTTTCTTGGAGGAGCCAAACTGAATAACTTGGCCGTTAAGTCCCTTTACTGGCGTCGCTTCATCACTACAATGATACCCAGAGTCCTTGGCCTTTTGACATCCATCTGTATCGTATTTTTTCTTTGTGATAACATGCTTTGGACTTGCGGTGCAGCCTGTATACTTCTCCTCGATCTCAACATAGGTGCACATTTTGCTATCTTCCTGCATTCGTCAGTGCTTATATATGTAGATAGGACAAGGAAAACTAACAAAGCTAATCTTTGAGGTGCTTAGAAGGGAAAAGAATTGATGATGTATTTAGAGTCAGAATCTGATACGTTTGTTTCGCCTATATGCTGAACTTTATAGAAAGCGTTATAGTTATGTTCCAAGATTCATCATCAATCTCAGTACGCAGAATGTGGAAGTCAACGGTAAGCTGTTGCCTAGCGTAGTGGAGAAAGCAGCCTCGATAGATATGGGTTGTTCTGGCGCAAATACAGCCGTGCTCGCCGAACCGTTGCTGGTGTAGGATGGCCTACAGATTGTGACCGGTAAGATACGCCAAGCCGGACATGACGTGGAGGGCGGCAGGTAACAACTAGTCACACACCTCTAAACCGATTAGCTCCAAAGAAAGAGGGGCTTCTGGCGTGCTGACCCACGTCTGAGGCCAACGCAGTCGATAAGGACTGGCTGCATCGCGGAACAACAACCTATGCACATCATACAAGCAAAGCGCTTAACTACCTTGTTTGAACTTGACTTGTTATGAACGGAACAACAAGCGAGATGCACACCAAGAGACACTCTAATCAATCAAGACTATTGACGCACTATTAGTGCATGGCAGTCTGTACATGTTCCCATGCATGCAATGTACGCCCTATGTAGCAGGTTGACCACTTGTGTGTGGAAGGGTTGTGATCCGCAATACTGAACTAGCAGGTCCTCGATCATCATGATACGCCGCATACATCAGTGAACCACCTCAAAAAGATAGCGCATTGGCCTTTTTTGGCAAGATGTTTAAAGATTCTTATGTCAACAACTAAGCAGAATCAATCAAACATGGCAGGAGGAAAGATAAGACCTGATAATACTATGATATAACATGGGAGAGAGTCCGACACATGGACTAGTGAATTTGTTGTAGCGATATTCGAGAGCATATCCAGAGGGTGTAATTAGGCATGTTGGGGTCATGCGGGTGGTCGGAAGGTTGGAAGGGCACGTCAACGTCTAGCTCAGACTGGCTGGACCTAGTAGGGTAACTAACTACTGTGGCGATCACATTCCAATGATCCCATGACGAGATTGAAATCCTTTCGCGCACCCTCATGGACCTGGGCCACCTACAACGGTGCTATTACTTATGGCTTGGGGGAGAACTCTAAAATGAACGAAACTATTTGCGAGATCTCAGAGCCCAACTTTAATATTGAGCACGGCTGTCGGAATACATGTCCAAATAAGTCGCGCACGTGTATCACCGGAAGCGTAAAGTGGACAGGAATGATCGGTACTGTAATCCGATCAGACAACTTACACTCTTTGAACCTCTCTGATGACAAAGATCTCATCGAGATTCTTGGCTCTAATGTGCACTAGGAGCCGAGACCGACAGTGCGAGTCGTCGGAGGTATACATACCTGAGGAAACCCCTCGAAAGTTGAGTATCCCTGAGAGGGTTGAAGTGATCAAAGATGAGAAAAAAAGTATCATCGGTTGGGTTCTCCTGGATACGGATATCCCTAAGACCATTGAAGCGCCGCTTTCTTTGGCAGTGATTAGGCGCTGGCGAACAACATTCCGGCCCCCGTCTTCTCTAGGTTTGATCAAAGACTTTGATTATATGGGCGAAGAGTGGTTAGACACCATTGCACTAAAAGAATACAATAAAGGAACCTGGACGTATGAACGGATTGGGGTAGGCAGGATCGTTGATAAGAATTGGATACGATGTTGTGTGACAAGGACTATCGAAGCCTGGTAGAAATCTCTTCAGCCACATCCTCTCTACTAACAACGCCGACTCATTCAAGGATCGTGTAACTACTTATAATGTTCTTTCCTAGCTCGTATAAAGACTTTGAGGACTACGTAACTTACTTCTCTTATAGGTATAATAACTAGATTGTAAGCAGAAATGGAGGGTGTACAAGATCGATTGTATATGGTACAAGTGGGCTGTAGGTGTGATAGAATGTATATAATAGTGTTTACTGAGGTGTTTGTTCTTGTGTGTGTGATGATGGCTGAAAGGCAGCCTTGAGCACATGATGAGGGTCACATGTACACACGTGACTTCGGCTTACATAGATCAAAAATTTCCAGCAAACCATGAAAGATGAATTGTTTTGTAGAGAAAACCTAGTATAAATAAAAGAACGAACTAGTTGTACTTTGTCTCGTAACGGGATGCGCCTCGCTATCTAAAGATGGACATTACCTTAGTATACGTAAGGGCACGAGATCTATATGTCGCGTGCCCGCCAGTTGCCTGGAGGCAGGCCGGAGGGCAGGTGGTGGAAATTCCCTTGACAGTGCGTTCAAAGGTTTACTGCGGAGCACTATTCTATATTTGGCTAGCGGACAGAATGCTCCCGAACCAAAGCGCGGCGCAAACTTAGTCCGAAACGCCAGTCCATCAATAGTATCCCACCTAATTGTTCAGTTCTTCAGGCTTGTTATCATCAGGATGATTACCCGCATCTCCATCATTTTCCCAGCAATGTACCCACATCTCCAACCTTCTTGGAGGGCCTGGGTGTGAAGGATTGGCCGCATGAAAATCCCGGAGTCTGTGCGGGCTATTCTTGAAGTTAGACGCATCGTACCACTCCGGATCCTCCTCATATCCTAGCCATTTGACACGGTACTGTAGCTTTCTACGATGGACACGGGCATTGAGAATCTTCTCTACCTCATATTCGTCGTCGTCATCGTCGTCGTTGCTCGCAGTGCCCTGAATGCGCTTCCGCTTATGCTTGCGCGAGCGATATTCACTGCTGTCATCGCTGTAGCAGATTTTAGCATCGTATCCGCTGCACAGTGGTCCTGAAAGAGGTTTCAGGGCCAAAAGACGGTTGGAGAACTGCCTGCCACCGGAGGGGGGTAGCCTTCGCTGCTTCGCTGGGCGCACGTTGTGCTTAAGGCGCTGCTTCGATGTCATGTTTGACGATGGAATGTGCCACTTGGTTGGCGAGAAGCGTTTCCGCTTGCGGGTCAGCCACGCAATCTGATTACCGCGATCATAGTGATCGTCGTCGGTATCGCTGCTGCTGCTACTGCTACTACTCGTGTTTTCAATCGTAGGAGGACTGCCTTGCGTTGATTGTTCGACATTCATCTTCGACGAGCTCATTGACGGAGTCGATGAAAATTTGCGAAGCGGGAACCCACTCATTTGAGTCTTTGCTTTTCCAACCGCATCGGAGTCGATAAGATTTTCCGTCTCTATAGGACACCCCCCACAGCGAAACTCCGAAGCTGTGATGTTCGAGACTTCAAGCCGATCGCCTATCTGCGTACCTGCATCATTTTCGTGCGAGTCGCCCTCTTCTGTATCTACGCTGGACTGACTGTCGTCGATAACGACCGTATTTTCTACGCAATGTCAGAAATGGTGTGCGAGAGCCACTATCACGATCGCACTCCGGCACTTGCCTTGACTAACGTTTTCAGAAGGAGCTGGCTGGTTTGAGCTCTCGTCCTCTGTGCCTTCTTCCAAGTTTCGCTTAAACTCTTCGCCTTCACTTTCGTTCTGGGGCGCAAAATCGTCGCAACTGCTAATATCACTGTCTCCTCTACCACTGCTACCGCTGATATCGCTGTTATCTTCTCCAAATACGGTTGTGTCAGTCGTTATAGAACACTAGAATGAACACAGTATGGCTACGCCAGCTGTAGGGATGCCTACCTAAATATGTCAAATTAATGACTTCGACTTGGTCCGACGTTGGTACAAGATCCTCTTTGTTCTCCAGTTGAGTGTTCGATTTTGGACTGTGTTTGTTTGACAGGGCCTTTGAGGGGTTCCGGCGAGAGGTTTGCTTAGGCTTTGGAGGCCCACTGTACTGTATTATTTGAAGAGAGCCTTGTGCGTGAGGTATGGAAAAAGTGTCAGAGAACAAAGCCATCGCTACTGTTGTGGCTCGAGGACGTGCTGGTGCTGCGAGGAGAGAGGAGACGCAGAGGTTTAAATAGGCAAAGATACCACGGTTGAGGTTTCTTTTATTATGTGAATCCTTTCGAAGAGCCCTCTGGAATAGCATTTAGCGCCCATCAGGTAGCAGCCCGTACGAGACCGTGCTCGAAACTGGGCACCCTTGCCAGCGGCATATTAGACTAGAGTCGAATCAGCTTCGCGTGGTGTACCCAAATGTATCATGCGACTGCGAAGTGCCAGCGGCGATGAAGCCTTCGCATGAAGCCCCTTTCTTCTTGGATGGAAACGTGAGCAAATCTCCCACCAACGCTCGTACTGGATATGAGGAAGTACAATGCATTCCCAGGCTTCAGGCTGTGTACAGGTCCCGCCCCCTTTGCTGTCAGAGCCCGTCTACTCAGCATGGAGACTCCAACCCGCGTTTTTCAGCTCGTCGGCCACTCCGAAACCCAGATACGAGCTTAAACCCGTGTTCAGACTCTAGACGTCAGGCTTTGGGCGGCATGAGCCACACAGTACCGAAAGATTGGCGCCCAAGCTGTGCTGAATGCCCGCTCTAGCCCTCACTACCCCTGATATGTAACGCCTGAATAGGACATCGCCACCATGCAGGCAGTCACATGGACCCAGGCTCTGCCAATCTGTATTGCGGCGCAGTCTCGGGAAGTACATGCCTGACCGCTACCTGCATAGCTGAGTAGCGGGTCGGACTCTAGCTGCGGCTTTTCTGGCGTGATTTTTTAGTGAAACTGGGCTTTCGGTGACACTTGGACGGTTCAAATCCAATTATTTCTTTAAGGCTACAGGCCAATGTAACCTCGCTAGGTGTACAGCTGGAGTTTTACTGGCTTAATGCTTCGTGTTGAGACATAATCAGGGAGTCCGAAGCCCCTTTGTTGCTGATCCGTGTAAGCGATGACGTGGAAGATCGAGGATGAGCAGACTGGGAAGGGCGTTCGCTTTCGAGAGAGTGAAAGTTAAGGAATGGTTGCAAACTGTTCATGAAAGCCCTGATGCAAAGACTTCCCACCATAAGACAGGCGAGAGAGTTGGAGTGGTCAAATTTTAGGTAGAGACAGAGCTGTTCGCAGGGTGATTGAGAAAACGTGTTAAAAGAGTCTGGCAAAGGACATAGCGCAGAGGCATAATCGTGGATCCCAAAGGAGGGGGTAAGGTGGATGACACAGCCAGGCAGTGCAGCGATTGCATGATCTCCAAGAGAACGAAAATGCCTCACAGATTCAGTCCGAGCGACCAATAGGAGGGAGTGAAGTGGAGGGAGGAAAGGGACGATAGTGGGAGGTGAGTAGGACGGCGATGGGAGCGCGGTTATATCTGATGGGGTCAGCGCACGGGCCAAATAAAAGCAGCGAGTGGCCAAGACAGCATCCATTTCCTGCTTTAGAAGCCTCCATTTCCTAATGCGGTTCCACTCTCACACATATACCTCTATTAATAAAAGTTAGAAACCTATTATATAAGTATTAAAAGAAAGCTTATACGCTCTACTTTATAGCTATAAAGTATTATAGTTTTTTATTATAAAAATATTAAAATATTTATAAAGTAATTAGGCTACGCTAGCGCTACGCTAGCTTAAGAAGGCTGCCTAGCAAGTAAATAACTAATTACTTCTAGAATCGCCTACACAAAACTACTATTACTACTTCTACTACTACTACTACTACTACTACTACTACTACTACTACTACTACTACTTGTAAAGGGCTACGCCAGAGAGGCATGACCTACAGGTCACATGGCAGTGAATCACATGACTTTAGTCACGTGACTAAATGACGTGGTTAGTTACGTACGAACAAGCTTAAGTAAGGAGGAAGACTAAAGGTCTGAGCGTTCGTACGAGTAACAACTATAAAAGGAGGGCCCTCTAGATAGTTCTTTTCTGTATCTTTCTTCTTCTGTACAATAGGTGAATGCATACTCGTTAGTTAGGCCTCTCTCGCCCATAACACTACTACTTCTACTACTACTACTACTACTACCTCTACTACTACTACTAC